CGGCGCCGCGGTGCGCGAGTAACGGAATGCTGCGGGGGAGGTCCTCGCTGTGCGGCCCTGCGTTAATTCATCGTCACGTTAGGGCGTGTGGGGGGCGGCTCTGGTTCCAGGCCGGCCTCTGAACTTGTGCAGGGGAAAGGCTGTGTCCGGGCACCTCTCCTAGGGATGTGAGAGCCAAAAGGATGTTGGGCCTTTCAGAACCCCGGCGCGTCAGGGGTGGAGAGGACTGTGGCTAACCAGAGCTTAGCAGCAGGAGGCAACCTAAATCGCCCTTCAGAGCCCTTTCTGTGTTTGTTTTGTTTGTTTGGTTCCACAGTCCCCACCTCAAAGGTCCCAACTACTTTTTATTTTTTCTTCTCATATATATACACATGCATATACATGTATATATGTATGTGTGTGTATATTTAACCTGACATAGTTATGAGTGCTAATTGACCTCCTCTTTTTCCCTATCTCCCTAAGAATCCCTACTTGGAGCTTTTAGCCTTGTGTATATAAAATCTGCTATAAAATGAGCCTTACAGCAATAAGGACAGAAGAGCTAGTGAGCTTGCATAATGAGTTGGTTGTCTAGTAAGGTGTTTCCATATAGAAAAAATATCTCTATAAAAGGTCCTAACACTATATTTGGTGATAGTGTACTAAGAAGATTTTTGATTTTGCATACATCACAAATTGGGTGTGTTACAAAACCAAAAGACATGCTTTGCTTCAAGCTATCATTTGATTATATGCAAAGTTTGAAGGAGATGAAATTTGGTAAGGGAGGAGAGTGGAATGCTGGTAAATATAAAGATACTAACTTCTGGCGGGGGTTGGCTTTTTGTCTTTTTTCCCTTCCTTTCTTCCAATTTAGCAATTTCTGATGGCAAACAAGTTGGATACGGCAATGTGGATTTCCCGCTTGTTCACAGTTTACTGCTCAGCTTTATTTGTCCTGCCTCTTCTAGGGTATGTTTTGCAATACTGTAAAATAACATTTAAAAACTTAGATGGCAGCTACACTTCTTTTATATATATAAATATTTTTTAATGTAAGAATGAATGTGAAGGCATTTGCTGTACTGGGTACTTTCTCTGAGAACAGTTTACAGATTTTTAATCGTTTTAAAACATTTTTAGATATATTTAGGAAAATGTTGAACGACAGTGGAGGCAGTTACGTGTGCTTTTTTGTAGCTATGTAATAATATCCTGCTTTTTCTTTGGCATCATGCCGTAAGTCAGCACTGCTAGTTTTTGAAGCCATTTTGGTAATGGTTCTTATAGTGGGAAAAGCGCCAAGTGTTTTGCAACTGTGATGCAATTCTCCAGGGGGAGCCTTCCCTAGGCAGAGCCCGGCTTGGTTTTTATAGTAACGCCTCCTCTGGTACCTTGCAGGTTGCACGAAGCCGCGAGCTTTTACCAGCGGGCCTTGCTGGCCAACGCTCTCACCAGCGCCCTCCGCCTGCACCAGCGGCTGCCCCACTTCCAGCTCAGCAGGGCCTTCCTGGCCCAGGCTTTGCTGGAGGACAGCTGCCACTACCTGCTCTACTCCCTCATCTTTGTTAATTCCTACCCTGTCACAAGTATCCTTTGGCAAAAGTGCTGTCCTGGTCCATTTTAAACTTAGCTGAAAAACTCAGTGGCTTTTGTTGTCTGTGCTGTGACTTGGAAACATGTTTTAAATTAAAACACTCCTTCTATTCATAGAACATACCCTGTATAAAATAGGAGCTGCTTGTGCTGATTGAATTATATTCAGGTTAACATTCTCTGTAACTAGTGCATTGCAGCCTCTGGCACCTAGTGTTATCTTTTTCCTGTATTTAAATGCACTGTTTTTTTTATCATCTATGCCATATGTGATTCTTTTAATGGCAGTTAATATTTTTAATTCATTACCATTCACTTATATAACTCTTTACCACAAATAGGACATATGGCATGTACACAGAGTACTATTCCATAGTAAGCTTTCTTTTCAGCTAAATCTTTTTAAATATAGTCTGAAAAAGGGGGGTTATTTTCATGGCTTGTCAGAGATGAGATTTATGAAGTGGCTTCTATTTCTGTTCTTAGTTTAATATCTTACTCTTAAAATGACAGACATGGGAATCTTGCTGTCCAGAGTCTGAACTCATGTCAACTGCATGTTCTTGGAAGAAATACAATCTGTTACATCTGTTAATAAGAACATAATGATGACCGAGTCTGTATGATACATTTTAATTTCTAACCTTATATGCTTCCATGAAGAGAGAATGTATTTCTTCAGAAACTCAATTGTGTATAAGGTCAAACTGTACCTTATACTTTTGCATACACAACTAACACATTTAAAAATCAATAAATTATAGTCAAGAAAGAGGTAAAAAATAAAGAGAACTGCTACAGAATTTTTACATGTGCATGTCGTAATCCAGTGTCCCTGATTCTGGCCAAGGTCTTGTGAAGAGCCCACAGCTGTGTGTTATTGTAACATTAGTGTGTGTTTGGGGGCAGGGAAGGAATGAAGCATGTCAGTAGTTTATATTTTTCCTTATCGCCTACTACAGTGAGTATTTTCCCAGTTCTGCTGTTTTCTTTGCTTCATGCTGCCACATATACAAAAAAGGTTCTTGATGTAAGTATGGTATTAATTGTGATGTGCTTGGTTTTTCTATCGGGTTTTACAGTTGCAGTTATGGATTCTTTTAGTTACAGTGGAAGATATATGTACTGGGTGGAGCTGCTGCTCTAGCACACTGTCTTGTACAGTTTTTTTTTAGCTCTAATCTCTGGTATTTCAAACTGGAATATCTTGCAACCACAGCTGGACAGAATAAGGCCGCTGGAGTGCAGCCTCCTAAAATATGTACAGGAGGGATTTGCAAAACTTCATGTTTTTAATTTAACTGTATGCAATTTTAGTTCCTTAGGTGTCAGTGATGCCTCTAAGAGGGATCCCACACTTCCAATAGCATATAAACAAATATCATCCAATAATACCCTAAACAAATAGTTTGGGATACAAATCTTATTCCCTAGGGTTTTTGTTAAAATGATGAAAAAAGTCATACCTGCTAGTTGTTAGTATTCTGCTTTCTTCCTGCTAGGGAAGATTTGTATAACTTAAATGATTTCTGACACTCTTTTTTCTTCCTTAAAGGCACGAGGTTCAAATAGTCTGCCCTTTTTAAGAAATCTTCTGGAGAAGCTGAATGCTAATCAACAGAATATTCTAAAATTCATTGCTTGCAATGAAATTTTCCTGATGCCAGCTACAGTTTTCATGCTCTTCAGGTATGAACTACAGTATGTGTTTTTTTTGGAATTAGGAGCCTCCTACACAAGATCATGCTTTGCACAGTGAGTTTGATGTGGGTCATAGAGATCTCCTGTTTATATGGTTTTGTCTGAGCTTGAATTTATTTGATTCTTAAATTTATCAAGGTGGTATGTCACAAAATCAAAAAGGCTTTATTCTGATATGATTTGGTACTCTGTTTCTTAGCGTGAGTAAGGCTGTTGGTTCAAATAATTTTTTTTCATCTTGCAACTCGTGCTAAACCATCCAGTAGTGTGTAGCACCAGTAGGTGTAATTTTGGTTGGTGTAGTTGTTGGTTATGCCCCTGCATTATTCGAGAATTTTTTTTTTTTTTTTTTTTATTCCATCTGTTTTGTCTTTTGGGTCTGTGTACTCCCTGTTGAATTCATTTTAGAGCTTATGTGTGTTGGAATCCAACTTAAGTCAAATGCGCCTAATGACCTGCACATGACTGAAGCTGGAGGCATTGCCTTTTGATATTTGGAGGGGGAGAAATGCCCTTTCTTCTATGCAAATCATAGCACAGTGAAAGCCTTTGTCTGGAGGGGTCAGAAGGGAGCTTTTATTTACTTGGAAGTTAATAAAACTTAGAATTTGTCTTTATTTCCTAATATGCCAGCTAAATGCTTTCGAGGCTTTACCCTTGATGGATTTTATTTCATTTTTAGGACCACTTACTAACTGCTACATAGTCTCAGAACACAGAATCTGAAACATTCAAGAACTTTCAAAATTCTTCTAAGAAGTAGTGCTTTCCCTTTACAAAGAATTTGTAGCTTCTTCATGCGCTGTGTAGTAGGAACTGAAAATTTAAAATTATGTTTTGAAATCTAAAATAATGTGAAGGTCAATATAGTTGGCAATGCTTTAATACAATTGTTCTAAAAACACACAGTTGTATATAACTGTATAAATAAAGTTTTGAAAGTCTGTTCTGTAAGCTATTTTAGCTTACTATATTGCTTGCAAGTACTGCACAGATGCAAGTTTTCCCCCACCTTCCCAAGCTCGCTTTCTTTTTTGCTTCATATTATGCATCTGGGTAAAGATCCTGATTATATTTGAAGAAGCTCTAGTTAATGAAAAGGTCAGGTAATGTACAATTCTGTACAGGGGTTTTTTTAGGGTTTAAAGCACAGGGTTTGTGCTTTATAAGGAAGCTTCAATCAATGAAATTAAATTCTTATGGTGTTTCTGTGATTTACTCTGTGGTTTAGATCAACTTGCTGCCCCTTTGATACTTTATATCACTATTACAGTGAACAGCAGCTTTGTGAAGTATAGAAATACTTACTTCAATAGAGTAGTTTGAATTGGCATAATTTTAATATCTCAATATGTCTGTGATAGTCTCTGTAAGAAGGTTTTGCAAAACAATTCCAGGAGTAAGGCCCAGTTTTTCAAACCACTGTGCTTTGGATAGAAAATGTTTGTTGTAACTGGACAAATTGTCAGCCAACTTTAGTGCTTAACGCTAGATGGTCTCTGCTGTCACTTCTGTAACTCTTCTCCAGCTACCTGAAGCTAGATATAAAATATTTCATAAGTACAAAATTGATATGAAAACAGCGATATTGCATTTCTTAAAGAATCAAACTGTTGTTAAACCACTTTAAACTTCAGCCTTTGTAAATGTGCTGTTAGTTTTCCTGTGTATTTGGGGTTTTGTTTGTTTACTTTACTCTTCCCTCATCAAGCCTAGATTGTTTGAACAACTATGATCCTTACTCTGGCTTGGCGTTATTGAGCCTAGGTAGTTTCCTTGTGTTTGTTAAGGAGATTTTCTGTGTCTTTTCTCCCTGGGGAGGGGAAGCTGGGGGAGAAAGGGGAGAATAAAGCTCCGCTTCTTTTTCTCTTTCAGTGGGCAGGGGAGTCTTCTCCAGCCGTTCATTTACTATAGGTTTCTTACGCTACGCTACTCCTCTCGGCGAAATCCGTACTGTCGGTAAGTATTACACTGATTTCAGGAGGTGGTGCTTAATAACTTAGTATTTCAGTATTCAGAAAATTTTCACTCTTAAATGATTACGTAACTCGTAATTCTAAACCTGTAAGTGGCAATAGTAGAAACGTGGAATAATGGTGGATGATTAAAAAAAAAAATCAAGGTTATACTTATACTTTCTTCACATAACTGGACTTCTCTGAAATGTGCTGTCTTTGAATGGGAGCTTGCAGATGGATTCCAAATAATTAAATCTAATCTTTGGGAAAGTCTTAACAGTTTGTAGCTGTTCACCAGAAAGGTAGCCTTGTTTTTAGGCTGCAGGGCTACCAGTCCACTTCTCTACATAAACAGGTATTTATGAACATGTGCTGATAGTATCAGCTGAAAAAATGTGGATCATCTTAAGCATGTTTGATACATGCTTAAGTTGAAACCTTTCTCAGAACCTTCTTTTGAAGCATTGCATAATGTAAGATTTTGTGAACATGCTTCCCAGTCTGATCACTGCTTGATTAGAAAATAGTTTGACAAGGTACCAAGGAGGTGGCTTTGGCTGTCATGATATGGAAAGGCAGGTTTGAAAACCATAAACTTAATTTCATCCTACTGTTCCCTACTGTTCTATAGGAAATCATCTGTTCCATCTTATTACAGGTATTTTTCAACAAAAATCAATGAAGGCACTTGTTTTGATACCTACAGATAACTTAAACTGTACAATCTAAACACTATTTTTTTACTACAGCTCCTTGTTTTTGCTGTTTCTTATGTTTATGTAGTTTTAAGTGAAACTACTGTTGTGACTCTTGTTATGACTGTCTTCTAGGAGTTTGTTCTAGATTGCAGGGTTCTTGTCTTCTGTCCTTTCTGGCAAGAAGCAACACACAGAAACCACTTTCTTGGCCCCTCAACTTCTTACACAGCCTTTGAAAAGGCAGTACTTTGTTTTTCCCCTCCCATAGTATTCCCTTTCTTGAAGGTGGGTTTTTCCTCTGTCTTTTTCCAGTCCATGCATGGAAGTAGCTTTCAAAGTTAATTAAAACATTAATGTTTAAAGGGCACATTCTCAGACTCTTACAATTACTGCAACAGGGAGTTGATGTAAAGAAACTTGTTACCCACATTGGATACGTGGGTACTTGGTTGTTTATTTGTTTGAAAATAAGTGAATGAAAGGATTTCTAGGTACTAGGTAGTTCTGCCTGACGGTTACAGGATTTTAATACTCTTTGTTTAAATCTCATTCTCAGGGCCCTCTTCACTGAGCTGAGGATCGTTGTTGAACATCTAATAATGAAGCCCTCGTGCCCTGTTTTTGTAAGAAGGCTCTGTCTCAGCAGCATTTCCTTTATAAGCAGATTGGCACCAACTGTTGCGTAGCTGACTTCCAAGCCTTTATGTAATGTGAACATTATGAGCAGCTGGCACATCTGCTGATGATTATAAATTCCTGGTTTTACACTGATCTCACTCCAGGCTGTAGAAAAATGTGTATATGCTTTTCTTGGAGATAATATAAAATTTATCATCTCAAAAGCAAGTCTGGAAAACCTAAAATTACTGTGTTGTATTGCTAATTGATGAAAAGTACCTTCGTCTTACCCAAAACACACTAAGAGGATTAAAGCTCAGTCGCACTGTTTTTTTTTTTTTTTTTTTTTTTTTTTTTTTTTTTTTTTTTTTTTTTTTTTTTTTTAATCATAGATTGTTTAAGGTTGATTAAAAGTTTTTGTTTGTTTATTTGTCTTGAGGAGTATTTGCTCAATAGGGCTGCTGGTTGGAACCCTAGGCACTGTAAAATGCCTGCGGTGGGCAGCAGCTGGTACACACCTCATTGCACTGCTCTTTGGACAGTATTCTCCTTACTAATGTGTCCATAGCCTTATTTGTCTAAATTACTATATTCAATATGAAAATGTCCCACTGAATTTAACAAAATAGACTAAAATCTATCAAGCTGGCATGGCTAACACCTTTTCTGAAAGAGAGCTTATTTTAGTAAAGTTGAGGAGGGGAAACTCTTCCAGGTTTCTTCCTGTGTAGTTGGGAGAAATCTCAAGACTCGGAGCACAGGAAAGTCTGTACAGTTACGTTATCATAAGATGATGTTTTAGCAAGCCAAGCTGCTGACCTTTAAGCTTTTGAGACAAAGATGCAATGCTTAAACTTTTAACCATCTCTTAAGTGAACTAATCAATGTAAATTTAGTAACTTTTTCAGAATCATTGCAAATGTGTTCTTGTGTCTCCGCAGAAGTGAGACTGTGGTAACTCAAGCATGACTGTCTTTAGAAAATTAATCTGTAGCTAGCTCTATATAAATTGTTCTTCCAGTTTGAGGCTCTCATTGTGATGGGAAATTTACATAAAGGATTGCACCTATTCAGGCGTCTAATGAAACAAATGGCTCTAGGATTCTTTTTGGCATACATCCATCTGATCTTACTGATCTGAAGGCTACTGATCATGGCTACAGAAATGAATAATAAATTGAGTGCTTATTATGCATTCGCCCAACAGTTGAAAGGTAGGTCATGGAAAAAGAATGTTGTCTGTCAGGCTGCAGCCTCTTACCATAAAGTTAAGGCAAAGCATTTGCCTAATCTTCCATGGTAAATGTTAATATTTTAATTATTCTTAACTTAATAGAATTCATCAGCCTTTTGTGAACTCTGAATGCACTGATGCATTGTGTGTTTGTGTTTTGTTTTTTTTCTTTTTTTGAGAAAACTTGGGTGAAACACTTCTTGAAAGTCATGTGGAAACAAGTATTTTCTTAACTTGTTTGTGATTTGGCTGTAATTCAGACTTTTCAGTTATATTAAGTACTAGTTGGTTGAGGCACACTTATACACTTTTTTTTTTTTTGCTCAACCTCTTAGTACTGATGAAGACCTGCTTCTGGTAACTCAATATGATACTCTGACTCTTGAACTTGCTCTCTGACCATGATTAGCTATTTATGGAATAGTTGAACAGTGCAGAAGTAACTGCATGCAGTACTTTTCTACAGCTGCTAAGACTTGCAACTACATTAAATATATGTATATCTTGTAATTTGAAAGTTTTAGAAAAACTAAAATTTCTACTGCAATAAAAGGAGTGTTAAATGTAATGTACTAGGCTCTTCAAGCTTATTTTTTTTGCTAACAGAACATACTGATGCTAGAACCTGGAAGTTGAGCAGAAAGCAGACTCTTAACTTCTGTGACAGTTTTTATGCTCTAAAATTGCTTTTATTATGGTCCCAGCTTATTGTTCCTTTGGTTCTATGCTGTTATTTGTGGGAATTACGTTAATATTGGTGAAGAGTATAAACTGGGTCTGAGATATTATAAAAGGATAAGGATGCTGAGTTTTGAGACCCACATTTTTGAGCCTCTTCATGAATGGGCAAGGAAAACTGAAATGATTAAATGAGATTTCAATAGGTGGAGAATTGGAAGACTCATGAAACAGTTTATATATGGATATGGAATTTCTTGATAGCCTGTTCTTCCAAGTAGTGTTAGAAGTGGGTTGGAGAGAAGATGATTTTTACAAATCGAATTCGTCTTGGCTAGTCTTGCATCTGTTTGTGTGTTTTGCTGAGATTGCTGGCAGGACTGAGGCTCAGCTTTTTCTTGTGGCTTCGAAAAACTTATGTGCAATGTATGGAGGGGAAAAACAACAACAACAACAAAAAAGGAACAATGGAAACTTCCAAGCAAATGAATAAGGCTACTGACCTGCACTTGGTATCAAATTCGATTTATTTTTTCTAGCCTTAGACTGCTTTAGTGATAACTGAGATTTTTCAGTGGTGAGTTTTTTTTTTTTTTTTTTTAATGCCTGCTTCCTAACCATAGTTTGTGACTGTTTTTGTACTAACAACTAAACATATCAAATGCTGCAAGCTTAAGTTTTTTTTTTTTTTTTTTGTTAAAAGATTTTTTTTTTTTAAATCTGCTGCGAGCAGATAGCCATGATGCAGAAACTGGTGGCAACTAGAGGAATTTTGTAACTGATCATGTGAAGAGAAGCATTCTTGTCCTACTGCAAGTTTGACAGCCTAATGTGGTGATTGTTTCTGCTGTTATTTATTTTTAACTGTCTTAGCTTTCGTAAGTTTAAGTGCTGCTGCTGAAGTTCTATGGGTATGTCATACCCCTCCTGTTGCACAAGCTAGCTGTGTAAGTGGGGTTCCACCATAAGGCTTTGGTTTTGATGCTTTATCTGCAAGTAAGAACAGACAAATTAGGTCTGTTGGGAAATGCTAATGCTGGCGGGCAATTTTATAAGCGAATAATCCACAAATACATCTATCCTTCCCATTTTGTTCTTTCTTTAATGATATACTTCTGTCATTTTTTGTGCTGTTTTATACATTTTGTTCCTGGTAAGTGTTGACCCTTCCATGATGTTGAAGGGGAGCAGTATCTGTTAGTGTGTTGTTTCATGTTTACCAAACTCTATTATAAATATATAACATATATATATATGACAGTTTCTGAGCCGTTGGCTTCTGAGCCCTAGTTCCTGGGCTACAGATTAGTTTGAGCTGAATGTACAGTTTGAGCTATATGCTTTGAGTGTGCTGTTCAGACAGATTACAGAGCTGCTCACTCTGTACCTCATGCTGATCTTACTTTCTTATTAGGCTCTTCTATCGCAATATTTGCTGTAGAGATCCCATACTTGCCCAGGAAAGCTCACTTGCCCAAGATAGCGTAAGAGCTTTGGCAGAGCAGAAAACAGGAAGAGAAAGTGTTCGGCAGATGTTCCAGAGACTGTTTATTCTGTATGCCGTGTGTCTTGGCCCTGTGTACCAAATGGTCCTGCTCATTAAACTATTGCAGAAAAATCTGTACCATGTGGTAAAGATTAAGGTTCAGATTAAGGGTGACCAGGACCGTTGAGCTAGAACTGCCTGCTCTCTGAAAGGGTTGTCAAAAATGCCTTCCCCTGTGGAAGAAGGGGAGAGTGTGGGGCTACAGCCCTTGGTATCCTGCACTTTCTGGTGAGGAGGAATAGGCAGGAGTGAGATCCTGAGCTCTTGTGCGAGACGGGCACTAGCGGGCTGTGCTCTTCTGTTAAAACTCCTTATACTTTTTCTTAATATAGTGTACGTATTTGTGCTTGTAATTTAACAATACTGAAACTAATCAGTGTCTCCTTGTATTCCAACTTTAGTGTGATTCAGTTTCTTAAAATCTTAGGGAGAACCAGGCCTTGCTGTTTTAAATTATCCTTCAAGGACAGAACCTTAAGCAATCCTTTATTTCACACTTGCATTATCAGTATGGATAATGTAATTGAATTTAAGATTAAATGTAGATTTAAAAATATCATTTTCATAGAAAATGTCAGTGTTCCTTATTAACTCTCTTACAAAACCTAGCTCCATGATAATGGCAGGTACTGTATGAGTAAGGGAGTTGGTTAGTTCTGTGCCACCCAGATGGCACAAACTTCTAAAATGAATTGAAAATTTCATCTTTTTCTTGTATTCAGTGGCTGCAGCACAAAATGCTAATGTAAAGCTCAGAGGGGAAATATAGTTCTCCTGCATATTTGAGAAAATGTGAAGTGCTCTCAAGAAAATCTAATAAACATAATAATCACAGGCTGCTGACACTAAGGAAAAAGCACCTCATTCGCTCTTTCTTTTATGCAGCGATTTACTGGTCCCTACTGATTTTCAAATTGGATCACTGCAGTAAATTATCCATGCCAGTACCTGTGAAAGTAAGCACTGGGATCCATATTTGTTTAGTGTTCTGCTTAAATCAGCAAGAATGATAAATTTGATGGTACAAAATTGCAGCTACCAAGGGTTTTTTGCAGTGAATGAGCAAAGTATCTCCACTTGTAATTTATTGTGACCCTCTTCTCACTGTGTGTGCTTTGTATGTCAAATATTTATTTCAAAACAAATTAAGTTGTTTTGTTTCTATATTGATGCAGCTATGGTTTTGTTGATGTTCTTGAAATCAGATTTTGTAGCTTTTGCTCGATTTTTTAAAATATTACCAATGTTATGTTGCAAAAACAATGACAATTGTTTAAATTCGGATTTCTGAGTTTGAGTGACTGACCAGAGGCTTTGCATGATAAACATTCCACGTTGTTGTTTTTTTGCTTCTGGAATAGCTCAGGATATAACAAGCTGCTATAACTTCTTGCTTTCTTAGAAGAAAGGAATAAGTTGCATATTAAAAACAAGTTGATATCTGTATTTAAGTCATGGGAGTGATTGATTCTTGCCAGAGTAGATGTCAGGCCAAGTTCTGTGAAAACTAGTGTAGATGCTGAGTTTACTACCTTATTTTCAAAGCATGGTGTTAATAGCAGCAAAGTTAGATGTACGTCTGTGTTCTGCTGAGAGTAACACTGTGTGCTGTGAATCTTACAGTTGGTAGTTTTGTGACTATGGTTGGTTGTATCACACTAGCCAAATAAGACCAATTGCTGCTCTGATAACCAGCACTT